CTTTACTTTTGTCCTATATTTCATATATATAGTTTCTGGTGGCCTTTATCTTTAGGGAAGTTCATTCCCGTTGCTAGGTCTTCCATCAGCGATTAATTATATGTTTGTATGTACGTATATTTATTTGCTGTAAATTGATTAAAGTTTAAAGTTTAAGATTCAAATTTGAGCTGGCCAAGGACTTTACTGTCACTATTTATAAATTATTATCAAATGTCTTCATTTATGTCCCTTTGGAAGGTGAAGGTGCAGCTAACAGAAAAAGGGATGGCAGGAAATTCAAGGAAGCTAAAGGGATTAGAAAGTGGCACTGTGTAAAGTCTTTAGCCCAGCAAGAAAAGCTTATGGCGAGGAATCGATCCTGCTATTGTGTTAGTTTTATTGTTAAGGATGAGGGAAACTGTGTAAACAAGGCTTGGCTGGATAACAGGAAAGAAGTCTCTATCTGCAGAGACGGCTCTGTAACAACTACTAGGCAAGCAGCTGAAGAATCCATCCCTGACCATGACACTCACATATTGCTGACCTTGCTGTAAAAGTAAGAACTGTGGCCATCGCTGCTGATGATGACTGAATGTACAATTTCTACTTTTAAAGGTCACATCCGAAGGAGTTGAAGAACTGGACAACAAATACACTGATGACTATCAGTTCACTGCTCTAAGGGGAGAACAAGTAATTAAAGGCAACTTCTACCTCAAGGACAACATACATGACACGACTTTCACCCTTGATGTAAAGCGTTTGGTTGTTGTGTATGCTGCCACTGTGTGCCACATTTGTGGTGAATTACCAGCAAAGAAAAAAGGAAGAAAAACTGTCTACACGCTTCCATCATGAGAAAATGAGATAGTTCCCTCTCTCTGAACTTAATAATAATAGTCTGTAGTCATACTTTCATTTTACAAAAATTCTCTCATTTTTTTGCAATTATTATACAAATTCATAAACCTGACACACCCACAAGGTATTATGGGTAAAACAAAAATCGCTTAAATTGCCAAAATGGTGTAAATGGTAACTTTTTTAGATTGAGGTCAGTAATAGAGATAAAAAGACAGCTATGTACTAATTTAATGAGGACAAAAAAAGACTTATGTTACAGGAAATGTATAGGTGACCGTGCAACTCATTGAAGAGAAAATCACTGCTGACTGCGTCAACAAAAAATTTGCAGGGTGTTCTCTTCATTAAAAGAAGAACATTCTCTTTTACCTAAATTTTGTCCTCGAAATGTTTGCATTCTAAAAAAAACTGGTACAATTTGAGTTTTTTGTAGTTGGTACCTTTAAGATTTGGTTTAGAATTGGTTCATATTTTAAACTGCTGTCATTCTGTTCCTCTGCTGGAAGTGCTGCTTCATTCTCCCTGTTGTTGGCCATTGGAATGAAGCCTCCCATCGGCAATGCAAAGACCTTTAAAACTAAATCTGCCTTTGTTCCCCCAGTGGATTCTTCATAAGACCTTAAAATTTCTCAAAGATCTTTGGCCGTAAGCTTTTGTATGTCAGAAGAAAGAAATACAGAAGAAAGTTAACTTGCGCGTGAAATCTCAATGAGTTGTCTGTTTGAAGCTGTCTCTGGGTCACCACCACCCTCGCTATTGTGTTTGTGGTTGCTAATCCAATATGGCACCGGAAACTGTAAAAAGGGCTATTTGGCCAGATTTCATTAATCATGTAACTAAAGATGCTCATTCTTGGACGTAAAAAGTACCCTCATTTTGTATTATAATTCACTGTAAGATACCCCATTTCCCTTAGTGATTCTGCCTAATAGTTTTTGGTTTGATATTTTTGACAGCTTCAGTCTTATTTAATAAGACATAGTGCAGCACAATTGGCAAAAGAAGCAAAGTCCAAATCAAATATCAGCATTTCCTCACTTGGCAGCTTAGTCCGACATCTCTCTTTGATATTACTTTTCTCCTTCTTGGACTCCTCTTCACCACAAATGATTTTGTCTTTTGTTTAGCAAACGTCAAACCAACCTTGCTGATAGGCAATTAAGGCACGTTTGCAGGATGCCATTTACTGTTTACTGTTTGGATGCTATTCTACTATTTACTGGTTTGCTGGAGTATGAACAAGCACTCTCCCGTCTTTGGATCAATAACTAATAATCAGTAACTGGGGAACCAAGCTTGATATAGGTCAACCAAGTTCAGAATCCATCTCAAGCTTGAATCATAACCTAACTCGCAATGTCATGCTCAAATTATTGGTAATCAAGCTCCAGCTGATTCAAGCTAGTGTTTGACTAATAGATCGTTTTCACGTGACGTCACATCATTTCCGGTCGGCCATATTGGTGTACCACTTTCGATTGCGTAATCCCCGTAATTTTTCCACAACTATCATTCCCACAAGTAAAATGGATTCAAAAGAGAAAGAAAAAGAGGCCCAGAACAAAAGCGGGGTCGACTATT